AGTGTACAATCCAACAGTTTGAGGGTCATTCCAAATCGGTGCTGATAATGAATGTTCAGAGCACAAAATGAGCAAATGGGGGTTGACTCACTGTACATATATGTGGCACATGTCTTAAGCGAGTTCTCGTTTTCGTGCAGTGGAAGGAGTCAAGGGATTCAGCGCATGTTAGTTCACAACCAAACAAATACACCGAGACTTGTACCTTTGTCACAATAACCGCGTACTCTTCATAGGTCTTCCCGGAGTTCCGGGTATCGTTAAAGATGGCCGTGACGGCTCTCCTGGAGATCCAGGTGAGCCTGGAGAGCATGGCAGGGTAGGTAGGACTGGGCACCATGGACCTCCTGGAATCTGTGACACATCAGCCTGTCAGGGAGCATCAGTCGCTGTGAAATCATCTCACCCTAAAAACTATTAAACATCGCTTCCTGTCGCCACCTGTTGCCATCTGAACCAACAACGAAAAAGAAAGGTGGGCGGGAAGGATGGAAGTAAAGACCAGGGTGGTCACAAAATCTCCTCTTTATTTGAATATGCATATCGCAGGCTGGAAGGCAAACATCAACAGGTGTGACATTTTCAGAGGAACAGATGAACATCGGACAACATGTGACAACAATAAAAGCAAGTGAGAGTTCCCCTCCGAAAATCCCGCTGTCATCCGTAAATCAAGTGGATGCATGGACAAAGTGCTCGAGAACATCAGCATTCCCACCAAATATTATCACTTAAGACTTGTGGAAAAAAAAAAGAAAAAAAGAAAAGATGAGTGCTTTGTGTATAAAAACCTTGTACATGTCCTTGCCCCCATTTCTTTGGTCTACTCTCACAACAACAGCGAGTGTACATAATGGCCCATTGATTTCGAGCCCAGGTGGTACCTCAGCACACAAGCGTTTCGTGTTCAAGATGCAAATAGGAGCGTCGGGTCACTGTAAAGCAACGATGTGTGTTCAACAACAAGCAAGTGTAGACTAATCCCCAAAAGATGACCTTTTTTTCCTCGTCAGCTATTATTTTATTTTATTTTCTTTTTTTGGTATTAATGCTGTTTCATAACATTTGAAGTTGAAACTTTAGAATCGAATGGCAAATAAAACTTGTGGATGAAGAAATCAGACATTGTAAAATAAATTCCGTAATCTTAGGTGCAGTTCTTTTCCCTTTTTTTGCGGTTGGATTCTGCGACGACCACATCCACGATGTACTGGCGGTGCTGTAACTATGACATAAACAATTAAACACTATTTATTATTTGTGGGTGACTGTTGTATGTACACTTGATAGATGATACAGCGACATGTTGTAAGAACGAACAAATAAAGCCACTTTTCAGTAAGACCTTACTGTTCTCTACATGTGGAGTGGAAGGTGTGCATTTCAGATGAGTAATCAAAAAGCGGTAACACTTCCAAAGCCAAGGTATCAAAAGGTAACATTCACAAACGGAGGCGACTGAACAAGGCGGGGAATTTGAAGACATGTAACAATTAAGATTAAGATTAAGATATCCTTTATTTGTCCCACAATGGGGAAATTTACAGTCCACAGCAGCAAGATAATGGGTAGAAAGAAGAAAGAAGAAAAGAAAACAAACACCGTTCAATTAAGTGCAATATAAATACAGATAAGGATAAGGTCGCAGTGCTATTTACAATTGTCTTCCACATCATTTTATTTTTTATTCAGCAGCCTGACAGCAGTCGGTAGGAACAAGCGGCGGTATCTCTCCTTCTTGCAGCGCGGGTGTAACGGTCTCTGGCTGAAGGAGCTACCTAGTGCTGTCAGGGCGGGCTGGAGGCCCTTTCGAGGCAATGTTCGACTCTTGAAAACAAATGTCCAACTTGATCACGATGGGACTGAAATAAAACAAAGCTGAAGTATATGAAGGTCACTGACCAATTCCAAGTGGAACACGACTGGCTTTCAGAGAAGTTATATTTCTGCCTAGTAAATCTATAAAAAAAATCCTCTAGATAGAGTCAGACAATGGCAGTTTAAAAAAAAAAAAAAAGTCAAATTTTAACGGGATTGCAATAGTAAGGGCTTTGTTCCGAGACCACATTTGGGGACAGAAATAAATATGGAACCTGGCGGCTTCTGGGAACTGCTGAGGTGCCCTTTGGCAAGCCAATAAACTCTGACCTGCTACTCCACAGCCCTCTGGGAAAACAACATGCTCCTGCAATCCTCTGACAATTGTTCTGTTTACATTTGCTGGAGGGATCATTCACATTGTCCATACGTTGCCCGGTTGTATTTCAGAAAGGTGCAAATGTGCTTATGGGTGGACATAGTGTCAGTTGTACAGAATGACATTAAAAATGTTCAAATCGTTACACAACGAACAGAGCTTCTTCCTGTGAGAAACCACCGACAATTTATTTGTGGTTGAATTAACAGGACAAAAGCACAGTGTATGCATATTGAATTCCGAGATGTGACACTATTGAAAGTTACCGTGATGTTTGGAACGCAGACAGCCTGAGACTTGTGCTAAAAAAAATTAACTTAAGGCAAATGGAAGATTGTTGGTGAGAAGAGCAGTGTGTGTAGCAAAAGAAGTCATTTACTTAAGTAGTCAATTATTTTTCTTTTCTTTTTTTTTCTTGTAAAATTGATGATGTTTTTAGATTTGTCACATTGCTAACTTGACCACGAAGACAATTTTGACCAAGGTGTGTCCTCCAATCAGCACTGCAGGTGTCTTCAAACTTGTTAGCTGTCAGTCTATCTATTTTAAGGAAGTCAAGAAATTGCTGTTTAGTGACATAGTGTGTTCCACACTAAATATGGACTGGAGAAAGTGAACGAGATATTTGGCGAAAGGGATTAGGATGAAAATTACGGACAAGGATGTTAAAGGCAAAGGCTTCAAGCAGCCTGACGTTCGTTTGACTGCAGTTGCACACATTCAGAAATTTATGACCAACCGGAATTCACCGACCTTCCTGAATGTCGCCTCATGAAAAAAAAATTCTAAATGTATAAAACGGGTTGAAATGTGGAACATTTAGCATTATATTTGTTCATTTATAATTATACGTCAACCGGCTTGAGGACAATACCATTTGATCCCCGACAACGGATTCAGTTGTACAGATGTTCACGTCAAGCATTCAGCCCCATTTACCGTTCATTTGACGAATTGTACCATGATTAAAAAAAAAAGCATCCGCTAAAATCACGTGTGAACCCAAAACTAGAAAACACCACAGGCATAACCTGGGATGCGAAAAATCCTAGTGCACAATGCTCTTATAATCTCATTTTATATAGAGATATGATACTAATAATGAAATATCATTTTTTAAACCATCAATATTCTTGGCTAATCCGAATCAGTGCAAAAAGTAACGCAAGTCTAAAACACTTAATCGTGCGCACTTGCAGACATTGGTTTATACATGTATTCCTGTGGTGCATCAAAATAATTTGCACCTTAATTCAACGTCACGTCATTAACTCCATTTGCTGGAATGGTGTCGCCCCCCTGTGGCAAATCATGCAAAATGCACATGAGAGGATCATTTTAATTTGCAAGCATCGCCTGAGGTGTTCTCTTCATTTGTGACAGTACATATTGTATATTACTTCTTCTTCGACATGTAGTCCCCCATCCTATCTTATATATTGCGTAAAACGTAAAGCAAAACAAAATGCAATTAAATACACGACAGAGACATATATTGTTCAAACAGATACACTTCTTTTTGAAACAATTAATCTCTCATTTTGTATTTGATGGCCCCAAAATGTTACGAAAAAGCTAGGACAGGTCATGATTACCAAACACCACTGTGTTACATCACCTTTGGTTTTAACAACGCTCAATAAACAATTGGACCCTGAGAGCTCTAACTCTGAAAGCTCTGTCGGTGGAAGACTTTCCCATTCTTGCTTGATGTACAAACATCAGTTGCTTCGAAGTCCAGAGACTCAGTTGGTGTATTTTTCATTTCAAAACATTTTGAGCAGCAGACCAGTCTGGACTACTGGCAAGCCAGTTTATTAGTCGCACTGTTTTGCAAGGAAGTCACGCGATAGTAACACTTGCAGAATGTGGCTTGGCATTGTAGGGACAACCCTGAAAAAGACATTGCTTGGTTGGCAGCTTATGTTGTTCCTATATGTACCATTCAACATTAATGGTGCCTTCACAGATACGCAAGTTACCCCTGCCATGTGCAACGACCGACCTACCCAATCCAATTGTTAGCTTTTGAAGTTTGCACTGACACCAATCCAGCTGGTTCTTTTCCTCTTTGGCCTGCAGGACATGACATCCATGATTTCCTAAAAGAATCTGAAATATGCATTCGTCAGACCACAACACACCATTAAGTATGGCAGGCCATTAAGTATGAATTAGTAGGGTGGGGAGGACCATCTGAGTTTTCAGTTTAGGGCAAAAAAAGGGGTTGCGACGGCACTCATTGCAAACACCAAATTCAAAATGAGAAAAATTTGCAAGAACAAAAAAAAGTAATGTTCATCGTTTCAACTACAAATATCTCGTCTTTGTAGTGCATTCAACAAAACATAAGTTGAAAAGGATTTGCAAATCATTGTATTCTGTTTTTATTTTATACAATGCAAAACTTCATTGGAATTGGAGTTTTGTGTCTTTCATTGTGCCTGTTTGTCAATGATAAAGATCTATTCTACTCTTGTATTTATTTAGCAGGTTGACATGTTTAAAGTCTCAGAATTTATGATAGGTGTTGTAGGATGAAAAAGCATCTTTCCATTTTCAATAGCACTGATTAGGGACTCGGATAATCTGTAGCCTATAGAATCTGAGTTGGAATGAGAGCTGACTCAATCGCATTACACAGATAACCACTCATGGACAATTGGTGTTTTTAATTAATCTAACCTCCATGTTTTTGGAATGTAGGAGCAAGAACAGGAAGGACATGCAAACTCCACACAGGAGGGCCTGAGGAGAGATTCGAACCCAGGGCAAAAAAAAAAAAAAGAGGAAATCAAACACCAAATTGAAAAGCTAAGCCTTTTTATTGTTTTTCGTTGTTGTAAAAGGCTCATAAACTGAAGCAACATATACACTTTGAACTAAACTATAACCTAAACATATACATGTTTATGTACAAACATTTGTTAATCTTCATGAAAATGCTCCATCACCTGACTTCACAATTGCTTAGGGTTAGACACACTTAGTCCCAAATAAAGAGAACCCTACATGGGCTTATATCGTGTAGAATTTCATGACCGAGACAAGCAAGACAACCATTGTTGACAGAAGTACATGGTGAGATTTCACTTTGTTGTCATCCTATTGATTTTGCACTTAGGTCATTTTAAATGTTCATTAAGGCATGAACTCTTCCAAATAATATATTGTTATGAGTGACAGCATTACAAATGATTTCTAATGTGTATTTTCATTAACCAATACTATGATTGTGCTTGAGTTTTGGGACGTGAATCGCAGGCTGCCTATTTGTCGTTATTTGGTATACATATCTCCCCATTGTCTGTGGGACCTTTTTTCGCCTCATGTTTTTTGTCTTTCTTGACCAAATGATCGACCTCTACTCCACGGCCTGTTAACGTGGTGGCCTATTTGGTTTTGTTTTGGTAAGCATGTTAGGATTGCTCATTCTATGATTTGCTAAGAATATGCGGCCTTCAGTTGGAGTGGGCAGCAAGGCAGTCCGAGGTTTTGGAATTTTTATTTCTTGCTGACTTTGTGGATTTTCGAAACTACCCCGATTAACCCTGTGAGGACCACGGCCTGCTTGATACTTCTGTCTTAGGCTCCTACCTCGCATGTGTAAACTTCGTCTATTATATTGTCTTGAGTCCCTGATGTCAGAAATTTTCATGCCATCCTTCGTGGCAGGATCAGGTTCCCTTGAGTCTGAAATAGGGCCCATCTTCTCCTCACCTCTTCGATTCCACACGGGGACTTCAGTGTCTGTATCCCACAAACTAGGCTCATGTCCCAATCTTGGGTGGTCAGGTGCCCCCCTCATATCAATTTTGTCATGAAATAACCTTCTAATGTCAGAGTCTTGCCTCCTAAAAACGGTTTCATATTCTTGGCCACCTCGTGTAGGGCCTTTAACGTCTAAACCTTCCCTTTCTCTTTCTATTGCTCTCGGGTGTAAATTTCTAGCATCATTCGCTGGCCTTTCAACATATAGATTTTCACCGTATCGAACATCTTTATCTCTTATTCCTCTTTGCTCAGGGCTGACCTGCATCTTCTCTTCTCTTCGGTTTTGGAATGAATTATTTTTATCGTGAACCCCGTGTGTAGGCCTTGGCCGTTCCATACTTTGACCTCTTGTTCTTCGTAATTGCCTCTCAGCCTCTTGAAAGCCCATACTATCGGACCCAAGTACTCCAGTGGCTGGAAGTTCCCTGCCGTGGCCTTGTTGTCTGTAGCCCATGGTTTCTGATCCCCATCTTGGATCAGCATCTCCTCTATCAGTCTCTCTACAGTCATTTACAGGCCCTACTCTATCGGGCATTGAAAACACCGTATCAGCATTATCATGGAAAGGCCGTGGATCTCTCCAGTCAGGACCATTCCAATCATCCTCAGGAACTCTCCAAGGCCCAGAAAGCATTGGTGTCCGATCGGGTATGTGGCCCTGCTCCCTTACTCCAAGGCCCCTTTGTGCACTAAAAGGCCCCCCTATATTATATTCAAAAACTTGCGCATCAATATCCTCTGGAATCGGCCGAGGAAACCTATTATCTTGACGGTTCCAATCATTTCTAAATTCTATTTCATGTGGATCTGACCAGTGTTTCTCAGCATCTATGTCGCTACGATCTGGTGATGGGTACCTGCAATCTGTTGCTTTCCATTCGGCTTGATGACTATTTTCAAAGTCACATTTTCTTCTATGCCTTTGATCTTCTGCACTGTCTCGACCTGATCTGTTGGTTTGTCTGTTTCCTGTTCCCATGAATGATGGCCCATTTTCTCTCCAATTAAGACCTACTGGATCTCTCTCAAAAGTCATATTTCGGAAATCACGGTCTTCTGGTTGTCGTCTGTCAGGCCCTAAGCCCTCAAGGTTTGGATTTCTAATTTGATGTGGGAGTATTTCATCTGGGCCAGGTCCCCCAAAAGGATGATCCGTGTCTCTACTCTCAGGAAACACACTGCTGTACCTCGGTTCCTGCCTATCTGGATGTCTCCTCTCATGCCCTGGGCACTCTGTGTTTGGACCCAAATGTTGATCCTCTGGCCTGTTTGGAATTCTTGTTTCTACCATTCTATGTTCCATAAATGCTTGATGTCTTCTGTTATCGGGCCTTGGGTGATTCCTTTCAGGTCCCGGTCTCCTAACATCTGGCCCTCTCCAGTCAGGCAAGGCTACCTCCATACTTCTATTTCCTCTTTCTGACTGAGGGTCCCAAGCTGGTCCACGAGGTCTGAGCCTATCAAGATCTAACTCATCAGTGTGTTGGTCTCCCCAAGCAGCAGACGGCACTTGACCCTTTATTGAGCTCCTTTTAAACACATGCTCTCTCCGATCACTGCCTCTTTTTCTCTCGAGACGTGGTCCAGTAAAAACTGGTAATCTTATTTCTCCTCTGCCAGGTTCGCTTCCACTAAAATCAGGACATTCTGATCTGTTTCTGTCAACCTCAGGACAGCTGATTGATAATTCTCTCCTTTCATTACCTGCCCCTCTGAAAAGTGGGCCTGCAAAACCTTTTGCATTGATCCTCGGACATTCCATAGCAGGTTCATTTCCGTCAGGCCCATGTCCCCTTCCAGGTCCCTCCCTAGTCAGACCTCTTTCAAAATATGATCCTAAATGGTCTGGGACACTTGGTCCTCTCACATCATATCCTAAAATAGCTAAATGTTTCTTTTCAGATCTTGGTTCTCTTAAATCAGGACCTAAAGGTTTCATACCAAGAGCTCCATCAACTTGAGCTGGATTTCCAAAATTAAGTTCCTGTGTTCTGAAATCACGAACACCTGGTCCTCTCCTATCATGCACAGGAATTCTTGCGTCAGTCTCGCGTCCATTCCAGATATGCATATTGGGTCCTCTAACATCAGCCCCTGGGCCGGTGAAATCTAGACCACTTGGTCCTCTCCTGTCATGTATTGGGAGTTTTAGATCAGGATACAAGTTCTCCTCCCTTTGTCCAGTGACATCTGAAACACCTGGTCCTCTCCTATCATGCTTTGTCGGCCCTACATTTGGCCCTCCCATTTCAACCTGTGGTTTACAAGGGTCAATGCCACGAGTAACTCTTTTTTCAGGCCCATAGCTTTCCATAGTTGTACCTCTCCAAAGAGGCTGATGCATTTTCCCTTCATCTTGTCTATGTTGCCCAATTCTTACTGAATCTCCAACTGATCCGGGACAATTCCAATCAACATATGTCTTACACTCAAACAGTTCCATATTTTGACTGCTGTGAACTCCTGTACTTATTTTTGTTGTTATCAAATCTGCTTTTATAATATTAGAAATAACACATTGGTCTTGCGGACCATTATTATCATTTGACCTCTCAGGACACTGGTCATGCTCGTTTTTTCCTTGAATGTTTGCATAGTTGCTTTCTGTAAGTGTTTCTCCACTGCCTCTGTCTGGAACATGTGCGTCAACTCTATGTCTAAAACCTTGACCACCCATCCCAGCCACAGCTTGACCAGGCCCAAAAGAAGAAATTTCTATGACATCATGCGTTTTACGATCATGTAGGTTTTCTGATACTGTCATGTCAAGGCTATGCACACTACTTTCAAACTTAATGTCATAATGTGCCTTCTTGAAATGGTGTGCAGTTCCAACATTGTCTTTTCCGGTATAGGAAATGCTGGACTGAAAACATCCATAATTTACAGTTGGTCCTGATCTCCGTGTGGATGCTGCTTCTCCTTTTAAGCATTTTTCAAGTTTATGCTTTTCATCTGACGATGCTGTACGCAGGTATCTATCATCAGAATATGTGGAGACATTCGACTTCAAATTACTTTCTACGTCACATTGTCTTATATTTAAGTCAACATCTCTTCCATGATCCTGAACATCTTTCACCTGAGGGGCAATTTTACTTTTGATACTGGGGTCACTATCTTTTATTTTCAATTCTGAAGTACTGCCTTGGTTTTGTGAACCCCCAATCACCATTACACCTGGATTGCTTGCCAGTTGTTCAGACTGGGAGATATTCTCATCTACCTTCAGACGAGGAACATCAGTATCTTGCTTTAGATCACTACCCGGTCTTGAACATTTTAGAACATGGCTCATTTCAGGTACTAAACTTGTATTTGTTTCCACGGCTGGATTTAAAGGTCCACCCCCTTGACTGAGTATTTGTGAATGCTTTTGATGTAAGTGTTTCCTCTCACTCTCCATATCTGTTGTATTTCCCTCTCCTGAATCTGAACGCTGTATATTAAGTGCTCTAAAAATAAGATTGGCAACATTTGATGTACCTTCAAAGTCCGATGGTATGTTCAACAAAGTTGCTTGGCTCACAGAATGTTGGAAATCATTTTCGACCTCCACAGCTGATGTGAGGTTACTGAGTTGTGTCTGGCAATCTTTGATTTCATGGGATGTAGCAGAGGGATTATTTTCTACACCACTTGGATCAACAAACTGTGGATCAGGATCAGGGCTCTCAGGGGAATCTCGAATGGGAGGGTCAAGCACTCTTAGAGGAATTGAACTTTCAGATGTAGCTGCACTTGCTCCCAGCTCTTTATTCATCTGTGATGGACGAGCAACTGAGTTAACCATATCACTGTCATTGGTGTTTAAAGGTTCATTGGATTCTAGTTGATGTGACGTTTCAAGTTTTAAACTGGACACATTTTCTTGTGTAAAGTCTTTGTCAGAGCTATCGGGTTTTATATTGCACTCTTCACTGGTATTTTTCACAGAAAGCGGGGTATGTAATGTGTCACTGTGTTCGAATTGCACAACATCTGGGTTCAGCTGACATTTAAAAGGAACAGGCGATTGTTTCTCAGTGATGTTAGGGGATGCCCTGAATTCTATTAGGTCTTGTGGCATCAAATCGTTTTCTGTCAGAGAGGATGGTGACCTCCTACGATCATGGGAATGCCGCCGTGTACTATGTGATTTACGGTGACGTGCATGGCGTTCAGAGTGGTCTCTAGTTCTATGCTTTGACCTGTCTCTTTCACTTTTTCTGTGTCTATCCTTTTCTCTGTGTTTCCTGGAATGTGAAGCAGAACGCTGGTGGGATCTCCTTGAAGGACTTCTGCAGCGGCCTCTTTCACGATGACTTCGCTTCTTCGGTGATGACCTATGCCTTCTGCTGTGGTATGAAATTGGGGATTTATAGTTTCTAGGTAAAGAGGAATCCTGATTCGTTGTAGTGTCTCCTTGAAATACATCCTCTTGTATTTCATTGAAAAGGTCATCCTCTGGATCATAAGGGACATCAGAATCCTCAATCTCACCAGCAGATGAAGATTTTTCATTTTCATTTCTAATGCTAGATACCTCAGTTTGTCCTGTAATTGAAGTGGTATTTAAACAAGGAATGGTATTTGTGCCTTTTTGTGCCTCGCTGTCGGGCCCATCAACGGCCTCTGTTAGACTGTTGGTCTCTTCTGGCTTTGAATCTTTTGATTCTGAAGGTCTTGGCTCTGACTGAATTCTACCACTTGGAAGGGTTGAGACTTGACTGAGAGGCAGAGACTTCGAGGAATCGTTAACAGAAAACTGTGCCATGAATATACCCACGGCCTCTCTTTGTTGACGAAGTGCTTCCTCCTGTTCCTTTAACTGCCGTTTTTGCTCTTCAATCTGCTTATTAAGTTCCTCAAGCATTCTCTGCTGCTCAGTCAGTGTAGCAGCTGAGACCACCACAGTACCCGAGGGAAGGTTCTGCGCAACTGAAGTGGAGGTTTGAGGTGGAGTTTTGTCCAAAGATGGTGTTTCAACCGGTGTGGAAACTGGAAACGATGGCGCTGGACAGTTTGAAATTTTTGTTTGATTCGGCTTCTTTGCATCACAATGCACATCTTGAAAAATAGTCTCATCCTCTGGATCATAGGCCACATCATCATCTACAACACCTGATAACGGAGGGTTTTCCGAATGACTGTTTCCTTTGCTCTGTGAAGAAACGGTTCCATATCCTATTGCTGGATCATACTCCTCCTCTGGGTCATAGGGACGATCAAATGTGTATTCCTCTTCTATGTCTTTGGCTTTAGATTTCTGTCCATACTGTTGAACAATTGGATCCATCATTGAGCCGGACACATGAGAAAGCACAGATACTTTAGCACTTACTGTTGTCACGTTAGTAGTACAACATTCCTCATTTGAGACCATGACGGTAGTTTGCTTATTTCGAAACAATGCACTCAAGATAGTTGATAGTGGTGTTACACTAGGGTCTTGCATATTTCTGTCAGAGACGCTACTGGATGTGGATTGGGTGGATGCAGTAAGAGTTGAGGTAGAAACAGTGGGGCTTGATTGAAAAGAGGTCAGATTTGATGGTAGAGTTTCTGCATTAGAAGAGGAATCTGACGGTGACCCCGGACAAGGAGGTGAATCAGGAGGGGTTGTGCTTGCAGGGGTCTCGGGGTCATAGGGTTGGAAAACCTCCAATTTGTCAGAACCATAAAGCACTGGAGGTTTTGGGATCCACATAGGGTCTTTAAGGAGAACTTTTGACTTCTTTTCTTCTATTTCCTGAGGAACACTTCCGCAACGTTTTGTTTTTTGGACAATTGCCAAACCAAGAAGAAGATTGGGCCTGTTCTTTTCAAGTCCTGTGAAGAAACAAAAATAGGTTGGTTCTACATTTTTGTTAAAACCAAATTTGTTTAACTTTTGTTTTAAATCAAGAATTACATCCATTTTCAACAGCACTTGTTCTTCTCAAGGTCAAAGGTGAATTTGAGCATAGCCAAGCTGACTTGGACTAGCCAGCCAGTCGCAGGTTATAAATAGACAAAACAAACCATCACGCCCAAATTCACGATGACAAGTCAACGATGATCTTAACAAGCATATTTTTGAAATGTGTAAGTAGGCCAGAGTACCTGTAGAAACTCTACACAGGAAGGCTGGAGCAGAATGTTGAACGTGAGTCTCAAAATTGTGAGGCAGATGTGTTAAGCACTCATCTACCAGGCAGCAAAAAAAATGGATTTATAAATAACAGAACTTGTCAATTGGGTGATGAGGTGCAGCTATTTCATGTTAAACAATAACTAAAAACAAAGGGAGCTAATTAATAACATACATCAGTGTCTTTAACTTCTGCTTTCAGCTCTTATGTTGCAAGCTATTAGGTCAGTCATTATTAAATAACCACGCAGAATGTTGCTGGTTAAGGTGAAGGTAGGAGGCTGTAGTGAGGAAAAGTAACACAATCAGATGGAGATTTTCTCAAATAAAAGCTATGACATTGGAAAACAGTCCCTGGAAAACAACAAACGGAACGAATGAATGTGTCTGTCTCGATTTATGTGATGGCTCGAGCATTGTCACACCTGGTCCTTCCAGAGGTTGCAGGATGGATGGAATGGATTCCTTTGCACTGAGTGGTAGAAGGTAGACATCCTTGATGGAACGGCTGTTGTTGGAAACGACTCCAAAACGTCCTCTGCTGCTGAAGTATGAAAAGAGTGAGACGTATGCCACCTCTTCTTCTTCAGTAGCAGGATGAAAGCGAATCACGCTTAACTCCTAAAAAAAAAAAAAAAAAAAAAAAAACAAAAAGAATATAATGTAAATAGTGTTGAATAGCACAAATGAATCCAATACAGTAAAGCCCCATTCATCGCTTTTTCTTGTCAGCAAGATATTTGGAATATGTTCTTATTTTCTTGTGTTTGCGACCGTTAAAGCTGTTTTCGAATGTCTGAAGAATGTCTTGGGAAAATCGCAAACACACACAAGTCTTCGCCACTCAGTGTGATACGGACTTAACCCTGTTCATAAAACCAATGGCCTGAGACCATCTTAATATGCTGTAGTATGCTCATGCAGACAGAACATTTTTGACGACCAATTTCAAGATAATTTCAAGGTGTTCAAAGTCAATATATTTTTGCTTAAATTCATTTGCGTGACCTCTTTGCCAATATCACATGATATAATGTGGAGACCCACAACTATTAATACGATGCAGCCAATATATGTATAAATTTGTTTTTATGGCTAAATTTAGGTTTGTTTTATTTTGTAGTCGGTAGAAATTACAGCCCATGTTAAAATGTGTTTGTATCACTTTAGATGTGTTTAAATAGCTTACTTTTTTTTAAACTGCCATAAATGCTCTAATAAGAAGGTCTATTTCTATATTGTGGATTTCCATTATTCCAGGGATGTTCTGGAACGCAAGCCCTTCGATGGAGGGGGTTTTAATGTATACGCTCCACTCAAAAAGCATTGAAGCAGTGAGGCCAATTGCTCTTTTGCAAAAGACACAAAACAGTTGGGTCATAGCTAAGCTTCACAAGTGCTTGTTTTACCACACAGTCAAGTGATTTTTTTGTGTGTGTGTGTGTGTGTGTGTGTGTGTGTGTGTGTGTGTGTTGCTTAAATGGTATTATGATGAAAACCGAGCACAGACCTTTAGTGTTGTTTATTGCTGTAATAATCAATTTAGTGTGACACCCATGTGCTACAAAACACACATCAGTCACACACACTGACCAAAACCTTTGTTCACGTTAAAATGGTGTGAATTGTGGGAAAAAAAAAGTTGTGTCTCAGCTGCAGATGCAAATACATGGAAACAACGGTTAATCTCTCAAACCAAATCAGTATTTTTTAGTCTACATCAAAAATTAGGGAATTGGCCTCACTGTTCCAGTACTATTGAAAGTGATGCTTGCCTTTGTAATGTTGGTCTTGAGCTTGGCAACATAGTCCCACACTGTTTGAGGCATGATTCGTCCACCAATTTCAATGGTATCGGGTAGTTCCTGAAAGCAAGAACAAGATGCTCATTAATTTTAGTGAAGCTCCAAACACAAAGATGGACCTGATGCAAAACAAAACATTTTCAAAAATGTTACCAATTTCAGAGTTTCTGCAGATCCTGAAACCAAATAGACTTTTGTAGCAAACTTTGATACAGTCATCATGTTGAGGAATCCTTTCCACAGCACTTCTTGCTTGGCCAGGAACTGTGAAGTTTCACCAGTGGCTGGAGATTCGGAGATCACATTTCTGGAAAATAATCCACCAAAACAATTCCCATATGCACATCTTGGCCATTTCACACAATTTTACAATGCGCAAGAATGAGTATTGCATCATACCTAACTGTCCATTTCTATAAATACCTTGAGGATGCGCCATAGAGTCGGGGATCAGCTGAAGAGGACGGCTTCATTAGGATAGGCTTTGGTAATAATTTTGGTGGTGGCACTGGCAATTTCGGTACAGATGATGAATGAGAGCTATCCTCGGTACGAGGAGCATAAGGTGCTGATTGGTTCTTCAATGTATGTGTGGGACCAGAGGTACAAAATGATGAAGCAGAGCTCCTACTGGCTGCAGTACGGGGGTCACGCCTTGTAATAGTGACTGTGGAGACGGCTGGAATTACAACAGGTGTATATGTTCTTTTCGATGTTGTGGTTGTTGAAGCGTCAGAAACTGGGGATGCGGGGGACTCCATGACGGGGGAAGCAGGTGACTCTAAAGTAGGAGAGGCTGGCGAATCCATAACGGGAGATGCGGGAGATTCAACAGCAAAGTCACTGGTGTCAATAACAAGACGGGAAGAAGGGTCGAATATGGAAGGTGACGAAAAATCGGGTGAGTCAGGCGAGTCGGGTGGTGCTCGTAGAGGTGAGTCATCTCCTGCAGACTTTCTCCACCGTGAAAAATGTTTGACGCTTGATTCGGACACCTTACTTTTTTTGTTTGGAGGTTCATTTTCCCCTATTTGTCCTTTGGGGGGGAAAAAAGTTATTTAAGATACATACGAAACAATTGGAGGAAGTTTTTATGATGTTTATATCCTGTTTGCTTAACTCACCTGTGCATATCTTGCATTTTAGGTCAAACAGGTGGGCCTTGTGTTCTGAGGTGGTGTCTTTAAGCATACAGGTAAGAGCATCTGGCAATGCGCTCCCCTTGCTTGGCTCATTTATTTTGCTCTTAAGAATGGGCGTCTGCAGACTTCTCTTCTGTTTGTAGGGTGAAAAAGAAATCAACTTCAATACTGTGAGTCAGTCTCATGACTCATACGTCATTATAACCACAGCTTGTTGACAATTACATATATTAAGAAGAGAGATTGTCATTATGATGTCAAACGGAGACAAATGCTCACATTGCCCACTGGTCTTCTATCAGGTTTGGTGACGTTTAATGAGGGAAGATCAACCTTCACAGCTTCAGGTTTAGTGACATTCAAACAGGAAAGATCAACCTTCACAGCTTCAGGCTGCTGCATTAAACTGGGCGTTTTGTCGGCTCCATCTTTAATCTAAAAAAACAAACAGGGCTTTGTAGATCCAACAGGGAAACTACTGGGAACTTGTTAATTTACGACGCTTGTCTTCTTTTTCTTTGGCAGCAGACATGCGATTTACCTGTGATGTGTTCTTGACACTGTTGTCTGGCACCTTGGTAGCCTGCATGTCCTTCTGGCTCATCCTGACCAGTCTGAAAGGACTGATGTCTCCTTCTACAACTCGATACAACAAGCCCTAGACAAAAAAAATGATACGGTATTACTGTACATACAGCACCTATCAATTGAAATAGCACTTAAGAACTTGGAGCAAACCTTGTTTTTTGGATCTTTCAAATTGAACATAATTGTTCTGTACTTATTCATGTATTTGCTGTCTGTATTGCGAAATATGTCAAACATCTCCGTCTCAATGCTTGCAACAAGTTTTGCAGCACCACTGTCAGACATGGTCAATTCCTCACACTCAGAAACCCTGGACAAAGAAATAGAGAGTCAATATATTATGAACTAGCCAATTGTGATGTCGCTGCAGAATTTAATATTGTAGTAAGAATACCTTTTTTTTTTTTTTTTTTAAACAACATACGTATGTCCAATACTTAAATTGCTGAATATAATTAGTCTTACCTTTTGGACAAGATGCTTGTTAGGGATCGCTGGATGCTCTGTCTGACCTGGTGATTTGGCTGAGCAGGTCTGGAGGAGGGTGCGCTTGGTGCAGGGGGCACAGGCAGATTTCGGGTCTCGTTCAGCAGGGTTGGAACTAAAGGCTTATGGCATGAGGCTCCCACATGGCTTGATGAGGTCTCAAGTCCAGATTGCTTCTTTGGTATTATGTATGTTGCCAAAGAGTTCAAAACAGTCCCAGTTTCATTGTGTTCAGATCCTAATGTGGTTGGAGAATGTGAGGCCGTACACGAACCGGATTTCTTTCTTATAGGAGATGCGGAGGCACCTGATTCTTCAGTTGTTTCAACCGATGTGTCACTTTTTGTGGACTCCATTGTGCTGACATTAGGGTTACTCTTCTGTGGTACAACTTGTTCTGACACAGGGTGAGGTGAAGGACACGTATCTATGGAGGGCTCCTCTGAATTTGATTTTTGGGGAGTTTCAGTCGCTTTTAGTTTACATTCCTTTGAAG